TGCCCTTGATGAGGTTTCCTTAAGTATAGGATAGTACTTCCTCTGTTTACATTTATTAGTGGTTTGGGGTGTTTCTGTTCAATTTCTTTCTTTTTGTTTTAGCTTGGAGTTATGACCTACAGTGATACTGGGAAACTGAGTCCAGAAACTCAATCTGCTATTGAACAAGAAATTAGAATCCTTCTAAGGGTAATAATTCTGTTTTTCTGTGCTTATTCATCTGTCTAGTCATTAATGTGCCTAAATAGTTAGGTGCTACCAGAAGATAATGGTTATCCCCTGTTTAAAACTGTTGCTATATATAATCAAGAGAATGAGTGCACCATTGAAGCCATAATTCCAGTATGTAGTTGGGAGCCTCTGGTCATAGACTGAAACTTTATTTTATTCTGGCCATAGGCTAGGAACAGTTAATATCAGTAATTACAGTTAATATCAGTAATTATAAATATTCTTCATCTGTATAACCATAGTGTTGTTAGAATAGGGAGGATATTTGATTATTTGAGTCTTTATTAGTTTTTCACTCTGACATATATTTTATTCAACAAATATTAGTTGCTCTGTGCCTCGCTGTGTACATATGCTGAGAAAGAAGCATAAAGGTCTTTGAAAACAAAAGTCTTTTTGATTGCAGGGTCCAGTACAGAATACGTGAGCGTCGATTCAGTGAAATGAGTGAGTAGGTTCTGTGGAATCTCCTTGACGCACAGCAGATGCTTGGATTAGGGCAGTGAGAGGGGAAATTGAGAAAAATGAATGCATTCGAGAGATGCTGATCTAGTGGAATCGAATGCCTTTCTGATATTTGGGTGAGAGAGCAGCTAAATGAAGTAACAAAGCTGTGTCCTCGATTTCTGCCTGGTGCAGCCATCTAGTTGTGTGTGCCGTTGACTGAGAAAACACTGATGATGGCCCAAGGTGGGGAAGTGTGTAGATTGTAAGCTGAGTTTTACACATATTGAATTTGATGTGTTTTCTTTTTTTTAAGGTTTTACTTGTTTGAGAGAGAGCGAGAGAGCGAGAGAGCGTGAGCATAAAGTGGGGTGGGTGAGGGCAGAGGGAGAAGCAGATATCCCTGTTGAGCAGGGAGCCTGATGTGGGGCTTGATCCCTGGACTCTGGGATCATGACCTGAGCTGAAGGCAGACACTTAACCAACTGAGCTGCCCAGGTGCCCCTGATTTTGAGGTGTTTAGTGAAGATTTCACGTGGGGAGGGATACGTGGGTCTGGTGCTTAGTGCAGAGGTTGGACATGTGCATTCCAGTTGGTTGTACATGAAGGCAGATCTTGGAATGGAAAAGACTGAGCTAAATGGCAGAAAGTCTAGTGAACGAGAACTGGAATTAGGGTTGTAGATGGCAAAATGAAGGATGTTGAAGTCAGATGGTGTGAACTTCAAAGGAATCATGCTTTATAGAAGAAGGTGGTAAAGTAATAGTCTGTCAGCGGTGAGGGGAGCAAAGGTCTCACCTCTTTACTCTGAAATACCTGGGATAGGAGTGAATCAGTAGCTGTCAAGTGAGGGATTCGGAGTGTCCCCAGGAGGGCCAGGTTTTGATTAACTCAAGGAGGTAAAAGCTTTAAAGTCATTAAGTTTATGAAAAGTTTATATGATGAAAAGGTTTAGAAGGTGTTTCAGAAGAGGAATTCTCTCTTCTTGCCTGAATCTTCATTCTTTTTTACTATTTAAGTTATTTTGATTAAATTATCTCTTCTAGTATTAGAGCATTGGAAATACTCTTTCTTTGCTCTTAATACTTTTCTGAAATGTTAAGCTTGCGAGGGCGGTAGGTACTCTTTCCACTAGATGGCGCACTTACATTGTTATTAAGGAAAATGATGCTTTGCTAGTATACATTTTAGGTTCAAATGTATATGAAACTTAAAGATATAAAAACCTTAGCATAGTCTTACAGGTTACAGTGTAAGGGTTTCATTCCAATGGAGTTTTTAAAGTTAATACTAATTCATCCTAGGTTATTAGTTTCAATATTCCATGACATATTTATAATACTTTATATGTTCTCTTTAATTTGATATTTCATTTGACCGTAACAATTTTGTTCAGAATGTCTAATGATGTTTATTTTTAATAATTGTGTTATTTTTATATGACGTATGCTTCTTGGTGTTGGTAAACTCATTTTACAGTGGTATAGTGGTCACTGACTGACAGGTAAGTTGTTACCAAATAAAAATAGAAAAGTAGATCTTTTCTCACCCTTTAAATGGAATAAATTGGGGGCGCCTGGGTGGCTCAGTGGGTTAAAGCCTCTGCTTTCGGCTCGGGTCATGATCCCGGGGTCCTGGGATCGAGCCCCACGTCGGGCTCTCTGCTCAGCGGGGAGCCTGCTTCCTCCTCTCTCTCTGCCTGCCTCTCTGCCTACTTGTGATCTGTCTGTCAAATAAATAAAATCTTAAAAAAAAAATTGAATAAATTGGTGGAATATCACAAAGCAAAAGGAGCAAGCCTGCCTTTCCTTTTTAACATGTATATTGAATAGAGAAATAGATTTCTTTGTTCCCAGACCTTATTTAAAAAGCAAGTAAGTATAGTATATACTTATATATCTTTAAGTATAGCTGCCTAAGTAGTCCTCACTTATCCATGTGATACATTTTGAGGTTAAAAATAGAACGTTTGCAAGTATGAAACTAATCTTTAGGAACCAAGCTTGCCTTATCTATCAATCAATCAATCAACCAAGTAGGCTCCATGCTCGGTGTTTAAAAGCTCCATGCCTTAAGAGACTCTTAATCTCACAAAACAAACTGAGGGTTGCTGGGGGGATGTAGGGGGAGGGATGGGGTGGCTGGGTTCTGGACATTGGGAAGGCTATATGCTATGGTGAGTGCTGTGAAATGTGTAAGCCTGATGATTCACAAACCTGTACCCCTGGGGCAAATAATATATTCTATGTTAATTTTAAAAAAGAGCTTCATGCTTTTATCTTTTATAAATAGAAATGAATGTAGTTCACATTTTTTCAATCATTTTTTAAATTTATTTTCAGCATAACAGTATTCATTGTTTTTGTACCACACCCAGCGCTCCATGCAATCCGTGCCCTCTCTAATACCCACCACCTGGTTCCCCCAACCTCCCACTCCCCCACCTCTTCAAACCCTTCAGATTGTTTTTCAGAGTCCATAGTCTCTCATTGTTCACCTCCCCTTCCAATTTACCCCAACTCCCTTCTCCTAACTCCCCATGTCCTCCATGCTATTTGTTATGATCCACAAATAAGTGAAACCATTTGATAATTGACTCATTTTTTAAGGGATATAAATTTTTTTTCTTATTTATGATTTTAGCTTCTACTAAGTTTTCTGCCTCTTAGATACCTCCTTTTTTTTTCATTTCAGGACTCATATGAACGAGCGAAGCGTATCTTGAAGACTCATGCAAAAGAGCGTAAGAATCTAGCAGAAGCTTTACTAACCTATGAGACTTTGGATGCCAAAGAGATGCAAATTGTTCTTGAGGGAAAGAAATTGGAAGTGAGATGATAACTCTT